CACTATCTGGATGTAATCCCATTTTGAAGGCGGTGATGGCCATGGAGTCGTTGCAAGCGTCATCAATAAGATTAAAGCATTCCCAATATTGCACCGAATATGCTCTCAGTGTTTCTCTTGGCAGGATTTGCATTGCGCAGAGAGAGTTGGCTTGTTTCGGCTGGACCTCATTGGTGATGAATCTGGCCCTGAAGGACTTCTATAATTGGTGGAAGGTTTTGATCGAGGCCGGCTCCAGTTTGTAATACCACTTGACAGCCAATGGTCCCAAACTGCTGGGAAATATTCGGCACATGAGGACCTCATCGTCTGCATGCAATGTCATGGCTTGCTTGTAGTGGCAGATGTGATCAGTGGGATATGATTTTCCATCATAGAGGCTGAATGACGGAGCTTTAAACTTTTTGGGCAGGATCGCCGTTGTGATCCGTCGCACGAAGGGGTCATGCTGGTCCTCATCATCGGAACTGTTTCTTCTGTGCTTATGCCTTATACGCGGGCCCTCTTCAGAAGAGCTGGAGGTTTTAGGTCGTCCCTTCTTTTTGGGCTCCGGGGATAGTGAGTCGGAGTCACTATCGGTGTCTTGTTACCGGGCTCGAGGTCGCCGACCACCTGCTTTTAGAGGTCGTTATGGATCTTGGCGCACAGCTTGTTTGGACTTTGCTACCTCTAGGGCCAAATCCTGACAGAGACGCTCGTTCTCAGCGATCATGTTTTCCAACCTCTACTCGCTTTGCTTTGCCTACTCCATGATCGCTTGCATTGCCTCATGCTCTGGAGTCGAAGGTGAGGCGAAGTTCAAAGCGCGTCTTGCTGGGATAAGCTCCGGTCCGTGCGTGTTTGTTGGAGTGAAGTCGTCTATCTGTATGGTTTCATCGGTGACTATTGGAGGGTCCTCCATCACGCCCGCCATGGATATGCTTGAGTATTCCCACAGACGACGCCAATTATGGGGATGTGGTTTGGAAATACTCTTCAGATCCTGGATGATGCTCGTGATCCACTGATAGTCACCTGAAAAGAAATAAACACTCTGGTTGGGGGTGCCAGAATTAGCACTCCGACGGACAAGTCAGTCTCAACATTCAAGATTACTTGTATTCTAAGTTAAGCTCAACAATTCTCACATACCTTTCTCAGTCTGCTATTCCTTTATTTATACTCGTTCCCTGGGCCTCGGGGCCAGGCCCACTTTCCACTCATTATCCTCTTATTCACTCGGCCTATCTATCTATTTTATTCGGCACCCTAGTCGTGCCGGATAGAGCCGAGTAATATCTGTCTTCTAGAGCACGCTTTTGATTCTTTCAATTATCCGGCTCCCATACTTGCATATAATGGAGTTGGACTAATTGAACTAAGTTGATTAACGGAGAAACTAAGGTTGAAACACCTCGGGGAGCCTTTGTTTGAATCTAACTTCGGCAAAAGACCATAGTCACATGCTTAATGTGAACTTAAGTGGAACTTAGGCTCATATTAGGGGACAGGGAGCTGGAGTAATGAACAAACTTAAGAGTCTGACACTTGTTGAAATTTCGGAGAAATTTACAAGTTGGAGTTAGTCGAGGTAATTATGAATAAAGTATCCGAGATATATGTTACTCGAGGTGACCAACTAGGTTGTCAAAACTTGGAAAGGGTGAAGTCTTAATAAAAGATAACATATGAAGGTAAAAAAGCAATACTGAATAACACTTGTGAAAATATTTGATATTTTTTAAAGTGTTAGCCGAGGTATGCTAATGGTTGGCCAAGGAAAACATTTAACGTTTATATCCGAGGTATTATAACCCGAAGTGATTATATAGTTAAGGAATACTTCGGAGAAATGCGAAAATATTTTAAGTATGAAGGCGTACTAGGCATGGAAGGAAAGCAGTAAGCATACAAGAAAAGCGTCCAAACACTTAAAGAGAAAAACATGCATTTAAGGGAGAAACTTGTTAGGATACAAAAACAAGGCACATCGGCCAGACTGAAACTTAACATTGTTGAAAACAGAAAGGTTGCAACAACTACAAAGGAAAAAAAGACAAAGTACAGAAAGAGAAAAGATTCTAGATGGACCGATTTGCCTCGACGATTGGCTGTGTATCGACCTCGGCAGGCAGTTGGGAAATATTCTCGGCAGTCCTCTTCACCTCGATCTTGGCATCAAACTCGAGCAGAGTTTGGTCGAGGCTCTTCTCGGCTGTATTGACCTCGGCATCTAACATAGCCTTCTTGGGAGAGGCACTCTTGAAGACCTTGTCCTCCTCATCCTGAGTCAAGTCAAGGACTTGCTCATTCAGAGTGTGGGACTTGTGTAATAACCCGACCCTCTTATATGTTTTCTGGTATGCTTTCAGTCTCTTATTATGCGCACTTATATGTTTAAAGTGAAATTCCATGTGAAATTAAGTTTAATTGTATAAATTATATGATTATGGATTTATATCTATCAATTATAAGAAAAATCTGTTACCATTGTGACGTTTGGATTAGTAATTGGAGGCCATAAAGGCGCGATAAATCGAAATTGACCTTGAATTTGTGATGAGCATGATTTTTACATCATAATATGAATTTTTGAGAAATTTAATTCGTAATGATTAAATTGATTAAATTGTAGTCAACTCTTAAATAACCCTCTTAAGCTCTTAACTTAGTCACTTTTATATCAAAAAAGAAACATCTCCTGAGAGAAGGAAAGAGTTAGAGAGGGAGAGAAAGGAGAGAAAGCTTCAACAAGGAGGAAGATTGAGAAATTGAGAGGGATTGTAGAGATTTGAACTCAAGGTATGTGTAACCCACTTTGAATAACCACTCTCTTGGACTTGAGTAAGAATTTCTTGTCATTTATGCAAGCTAGGGTTTGTAATTGAGGCCAAGAGTGTGATAATTGATTAATTGGAAAGATGTTCTTATCATTTGGTTGTTTTGAAATAAATTGAGCTATATGGAGTGGAATTATGTATTATTCTTTCATTTTCCATGTTTGAACTTATCTATATATTTAGAGGGTTATATATATATAATTGAATACCAAATATGGCTAGAGCTTTGAAGGAATTGGTTTATGTATATGGAATTGAAGGTAATGAAGACTTAATTAAGCTTGTGGTTCATGTTTATTGTGATCTTATATCCTAATATTGTGTTGATTTCCCTATGTTTCTACTCTTTAATGTGGTTGCTTTGCTGAATTTGTGCCTTGATTCGAACTGCCCAAAACGGGGGCTGTGACCGCATGTGCGGGGCTCATTTCCGCACGTGCGGGAAGCACCACCGCACGTGCGAAAAACAGAGGAATTCGAGGTTTAGGTATTGAAATAAATGCACGTGCGGGGCGCACGTTCGGCGAGGGGCTTCCGCACGTATGGCCCAAGGGAAAAAATCCTGTGTGTTTCTTTTCTTCTGTTTAGCCCTCTGGGATTGTTAAAATATGTATTTGAAGCTTTTAAAAATGCTTGTAAATAAATGAAGGCTGAATGAATCGGATATTGATTAATAAGGAAAAATGGACTAATTTATGAGTCGCATATGTGTGTAGGTCACATACTAGAAGGGACTATCGCTCCGCCACAACATTGTGAGTAATAGTAGTGTAGTGATATGTTTTATTTACTGTTAATCGTTATCATTAGCACATTGTTATTCATGAATGAGTTGTGTCCCCATATGATGAACAATTGGAAAGCTTATGTGAGATAATGAACAATGAAATCCTTATGGACCGGAGGTCATTCCGTTTTGTTATTGTTGGGCCCGAGTCCATTCAAATATAAGTTACATCTTGTTGGCAGCCCTAGGGCTGAGGGAGGTGATGACATGCCGATGTCTCACCGATCCAAATATGATTTGAATTGATCATGACTCCTGGCCTAAGGCCGAGGGAGATGGCGTACATGTCGATGTTCTACCTGCCCTCCAATTTCAAACAACTGTTGATATGTGGGCCTGAGGGCGTTCTATATGTTATTGGGCCTATGGCCGTTCTGTATGATATTGGGCCTGAGGCTGTTCTGCATCAATATTGGGCCCAAGGCCGTTTTGGAAATGATTACAGAACAAGATCAAATATGTGAACTATGTACTTACATAGGGTGTGATTTATGTTTATTCACTTGAATTACCTGCATACTATTATTCACTGAGCCCTGCTCATTCCGTGTTATGTGTGCCTATGTTTGTAATTCCCTCGAAGGTCAGTCCTAGTCCAGCCCTAGCCACTCTTTTGTCAACCCCACGGTGACCAATCAATTAAGTGAAGTTTATTTATTTTTGTGGAGTTCCTTTCATGGCTCATGGTGTTGGTCACTAGCGCTTTTGTCAAGTGTTGTTAATCATGTACAATTTTTACCCCTAAATGTTTTAGTTATACCCTTATTTAAGGGGTTGGGTTTGTATTGTATATACATGTTTGTGTATAGTAGTTATTACGGATATGCTTCTGTATGTGATGAAATGTTTTGTGATCCTGGCAGTTAGACACTGGCTCAATGGATCTCATTTTAAACTGATAATTGCTTCCGTTTAGGCCCCGTATTATATAAGGTAATCTTGCTATTGATTATCGAGTTCTGAGACTGTTATGAAGTTGGTCATGCCCAAACTTTTAGGGGCGAGTTTGGGGTGTGACAAGTGGTATCAGAGCACGAGTTTCTATCTCACACACAAATGCATTGAGCTTTAAGATGTCTAGAAAAGACTTAGGTTTCTTGCATGATGTTTTTGATGCCTATGAAGTAATCGATAGCAACATGATTTGTATATGTAACATCTACTAACAAGTATTACGAAATGGTTACTATTTATGTCAACTTGTATATCTTTTGTGTATGTTGTAATTGATTGTTATGTAGGTCATGATGAGAACAAGGATGGAAGATCCGGATGATTCTACCTCTGCACGGTTAGACGGAATGGAAAGAATGATTATGGAAATGGCAGAAACTCTACGGCAGCAACAACAACAACATTAATAACAACTGCCACCGCCACCGGTACCTCCGCCTATGGTGCAAGATTATCATGCTGAGTACCAGACCATCACTCTTACAAGAGAATTCAAGAAGATGAAGCCACCAATATTTAAAGGGGGAATTGATCCAATGAAAGCAGAAGCATGGGTATTGGATGTGGAAAAGTTATTTGAGGTGTTTCCATGCACTGAAGCTCAGAAGGTACAACTGGCTGCTTTCACTCTCGAAGACGAAGCCCGTAGGTGGTGGATGCTTACAAGAGTTGAACATCAAGGGTTGACTTGGACCCGATTTCTGGAACTCTTTTATGGTAAGTATTTTCCGTAGTGTATGCGGGATAAAAAGGTGATTGAGTTTGAAACTCTGAGACAAGGGAATAAGACTGTTGTAGAGTATGAAGCTCAATTCGCGAAACTAGCCCGGTTTGCACGTCATATGGTGGATACGGATCATAAGAAGGCGAGGAAATTTGAAGGGGGTTTACGAAATGCTATTCTTGATCGAATCAATGTGTTGAAGTTACCTACATATGTTGATGTATTAGAGAGGGCCGTCATGGCAGAGAGGAATATTGCTGCTCAGAATCGGATTTCCGAATGGAAGGGGAAGAGACAGAATACTCAAGCATTAAAGGGGCCAACGACTCCACCAAGCAAGAAACTGAATTCGGGAACCTCTAGTGTTTCCACTCCTACTTGAGACTCGGCACCTACTTGTCCGGATTATGGAAAGAGACATCGAGGGACTTGTTATTGGGTGACCGGGGCATGTTTTAAGTGTGGCAAGATAGGTCATATAGTAAAAGATTGTCCTCAAAGAGATCGGCAAAATGGGAATAGAACTATTACAAGTTTGGCAAGGTCAACACCAACTCCAAGTACAAAGTCAGTTGCAAAGTCTACCAATAGTAAAGACACCGGTAGGCAAGGAAGAGTGTTTGCGTTGGTTTCGGGTGATGTGCAAAATGCTACAGCAGTGGTGTCAGGTACATTTACTATTCACGGTCATTCTACTCATGTGTTGTTTGATTCAGGCTCTACCCACTCCTTTGTGTCAAAAATATTTGTCCAAAATTTAAATAGACCTATGGAATTACTACCTTATGTGTTGTGTGTGTCTTCACCATTGGGGCATTCTATAGCCTGTACATCTTTGCTTGTGAACTCTTAATTGGGGATGTCCTGGTATATGCCAACTTGCTACCTCTTGACATGACCCACTTCGATATCATTTTGGGAATGGATTGGTTAAGTGAGTATCAAGCGACTATTGATTGTATGACCAAGCAAATCATTTTTCACCCGCCTGGGGCAGTCAGAGTTTATTTACAAGGGGCATGGAGTGATTTCTCCACCTTACTTAATTTCCTTAATGAAAGCATGCAAATTATTACATAAAGGGTGTTAAGGGTATTTATGTAGTGTTTTGAATGGGAAATCAGTGAATGGGTGTATTGATAGGATCCCGATTGTTCATGAATTCCCGAAAGAATTACCAGGAGAGTTAGTGGATCGTGAAATTGAGTTTACAATTGAAGTGGTACCAGGAACTCAACCTATTTCTAAAACTCCTTATAGGATGTCACCGATTGAGATGAAAGAGTTGAAGGTTCAGTCACAGGATTTACTTGATAAAGGGTTCATTCGCCCAAGTGTTTCTCCTTGGGGTGCACCAGTCCTTTGTGTGAAGAAGAAAGATGGGACCCTTCAGTTGTGTGTGGATTACAGGGAGTTTAATAAAGTGACAATTAAAATAAGTACCCATTGCCTAGAATCAATGATTTATTTGATCAGTTACAAGGGGCACAAGTCTTTTCAAAAATTGATTTACGGTCTAGATACCACCAATTGAAGGTCAAAGCTGAGGATGTTGAGGAAACTGCCTTCCGAACCCAGTACGGTCATTATGAGTTCTTGGTTATGCCCTTTGGAGTTACCAATGCACCGGCATCATTTATGGATTTAATGAATCGTGTCTTTAAGCCTTATTTGGATGAATTTGTGGTAGTATTTATTGATGATATCCCCATTTATTCCAAGAATGCAGAAACTCATGAGAACCATCTTCGTTTAATTCTTCAGACGCTTCGAGATAAGAAATTGTATGCAAAGCTGAAGAAATGTGAATTTTGGCTACACGAAGTGGGGTTTTTGGGACATGTGATAACGAAGGAAGGTGTTTCCGTTGACCCACACAAAATTGAAGCAATTGTGAATTGGCCAGCCCCTACTAATGTGACCGAGGTGCGTAGTTTCTTGGCATTAGACGGGTATTACCGGAGGTTTGTTAAAGATTTCTCCAAAATTGCCGTGCCACTTACCCAATTGACTTGGAAGGGTGTTCTGTTTGAATGGTTAGAACAACGGGAATCTGCCTTTCAGGAATTGAAAACAAAGTTAACTACAACACCGGTTCTTGCTTTACCATCTGGCACCGAAGGATTTGTGATCTACAGTGATCCATCTCATAAAGGACTAGGTTGTGTACTTATGCAAAATGGGAGAGTCATTGCCTATGTCTCTCGTCAGCTTAAACCCCATCAAAAGAACTACCCCACACATGATCTGGAGCTGGCAGCGGTGGTCTTTGCTTTAAAAATATGGCGACATTATTTGTATGGTGCTACATGCGACATCTTTACCGATCATAAGAGCCTCAAGTATCTCTTCACCCAAAAGGAGTTGAATATGCGCCAGCGGCGGTGGTTAGACCTTATTAAGGATTATGATTTACAGATTCATTATCATCCCGGTAAAGCCAATACAGTTGCAGATGCTCTTAATCAGAAAGTTATGGGGAATTTGGCGAATCTGCTCATGAGACAGAAAGAATTATCACTTGAATTGGAAAGAATAAATGTAGATATTGTGATGCATGAATGAGATGCTATGGTAGGAGCAATATCAGCTCAACCAACATTAATTGAAGAAATTAAGCAACGGCAAATGAAAGATGAACTTTTAAAGAAGGTTTGTGATGAGATAAAAACAAAACCAAGACCCGGATTCGATCTTGTAAATTCAGTGCTCAAATTTCAAGGCAGATTATATGTCCCCAATGTATCCGAAATTAAAAAGAACTTGATGGAAGAAGCATATGGCTCGAGATTCTCAATACATCCCGGGAGCACCAAGATGTATCGAGATTTAAAGAAAAAATTTTGGTGGCCAAAAATGAAGAAAGAGATTGCGGAATTCGTCTCGAAATGTTTGTAATGTCAGCAGGTAAAGGCAGAGCATTAGAGACCAGCAGGTTTGTTTCAACCCCTTCCAATCCTGGAGTGGAAGTGGGAACATTTGATCATGGATTTCATTGTAGGTTTACCACGAACTCCTCGGGGCATGAATTCTATATGGGTCGTTGTAGACCGGTTAACTAAATCCGCTCATTTCCTACCTGTGAAAACTCAGTACAACGCAGACAAACTTGCTGTGATTTACGTAAATGAAATTGTAAGGCTCCATGGTATTCCAGCCTCAATTGTGTCAGATAGGGATCCGAAATTCGTGTCGAGATTTTGGCAAAGTTTGCAAAATGCTATGGGGATAGAGTTAAAGTTCAGCACAACTTTTCACCCTTAGACAGATGGGCAATCCGAGAGAACAATACAAACCTTTGAAGATATGTTACGAATGTAGGTTTTAGACTTTCAGGGAAGTTGGGAAACTCATCTACCATTGGCAGAATTCGCGTACAATAATACTTACCATTCAAGCATTGGAATGGCACCTTATGAAGCCTTATATGGGAGACCATGTCGTTCTCCCATGTGTTGGGCCGAAGTTAGAAATAGATCATTATTAGGGCCTGAAATTATACAGCTGACGACCAAAAAGATTAAAGCTATCCGAAAAAGATTGAGAACCGCTCAAAGTAGACAAAAGAGTTATGCGGATCACCAACGAAGAGATTTGGAATTTGATGTAGGTAACCATGTTTTTGTGAAAGTTACTCTAATGAAGGGACACCCAAGATTCAGCAAAAATGGTAAGTTAACACCCGATATGTTGGTCCGTTCCAAGTTCTGGAGAAAGTGGGTTTGGTGGCTTATCGAGTTGCTCTTCCACCGAGTATGAGCCAAGTGCATAATGTATTTCATGTATCTATGTTGCAAGGTTACCTCCCAGATCCATCTCATGTCATAGATTACCACCATATCACTATAGATGATAAATTAACCTATGAAGAAAAGCCAATCTGAATTTTGGATCGGCAAGTGAAACAATTACGGAATTGAGAAATCCCAATGGTAAAAGTTGAATGGCAAGAACATTACGGGACAGAAGCTACTTGGGAAAAAGAAGAGGAAATACAACACCAGTATCCGGAATTATTCCTATCATAAGGTAAAACAAGTTTGAAGGACCAAACTTATCTAAGGGGGGAATAGTGTAATAACCCGACCCTCTTATATGTTTTCGGGTATGCTTTCAATCTCTTATTATGTGCACTTATATGTTTAAAGTGAAATTTCATGTGAAATTAAGTTTAATTGTGTAAATTATAAGCTTATGGGTTTATATCTGTCAATTATAAGAAAAATATGTTACCATTGTGACGTTTGGATTAGTAATTGGAGGCCGTAAAGGAGCGATAAATTGAAATTGACCTTGAATTTGTGATAAACATGATTTTTAGCTCATAATATGAATTTTTGTAAAAATTTGATTCGTAATGATTAAATTGTAGTCAACTCCTAAATAACCCTCTTAAGCTCTTAACTTAGTCACTTTTATATCATAAGAGAAATATCTCCTGAGAGAAGGAGAGAGTTAAAGAGGGAGAGAAAGGAGAGAAAGCTTCAACAAGGAGGAAGATTGAGAAATTGAGAGGGATTGTAGAGATTTGAGCTCAAGGTATGTGTAACCCACTTTGAATAACCTCTGTCTTGGACTTCAGTAAGAATTTCTTGTCGTTTATGCAAGCTAGGGTTTGTAATTGAGGCCAAGAGTGTGATAATTGATTAATTGGAAAGATGTTCTTATCATTTGGTTGTTTTGAAATAAATTGAGCTATATGGAGTGGAATTACGTATTATTCTTTCATTTTCCATGTTTGAACTCATCTATATATTTAGAGGGTTATATATATATATATATATATAATTGAATACCAAATATGGCTAGAGCTTTGAAGGAATTGGGTTGTGTATATGGAATTGAAGGTAATGAAGACTTAATTAAGCTTGTGGTTCATGTTTATTGTGAGGTTATATCCTAATATTGTGTTGATTTCCTTGTGTTTCAACTCTCTAATGTGGTTGCTTTGCTGAATTTGTGCCTTGATTCGGATTGCCCAAAACAGAGGCTACAACCGCACGTGCGGGGCTCATTGCCGCACGTGCGGGAAGCACCACCGCATGTGCGGGGCTCATAGCCGCACGTGCGGAAAATAAAGGAATTCAAGGTTTAGGTACTAAACTAAATGCACGTGCGGGGTGCACGTGCGGCCCACCTTCCCGTACGTGCAGCGAGTGGCTTCCGCACGTACGGCCCAAGGGGAAAAATCCTGTGTGTTTCTTTTCTTCTGTTTAACCCTTTGGGATTGTTAAAATATGTATTTGAAGCTTTTAAAAATGCTTGTAAATAAATGAAGGTTGAACGAATCGGGTATTGATTAATAAGGAAAAATGGACTAATTTATGAGTTGCGTGTGTGTGTAGGTCGCATACCAGAAGGGACTATCGCTCCGCCACAACA